CACATAAATTCCGAGCTGCTTGCCAGCATCTTCATCTTTATTAATCGCTCCATTTATTTGATTATCTCTCAAACGCTGCCGCTGCCGCTGTCGCAGCCCAACGCGGAGATTTATGCCACCGTCCTGTAATTTACGCTCTAATCATGCAACACTTTTCATTTTGACACGTTCGAGCGGCAACACACAAAGCACCGCCAGCGGTAATTATGTAAATCCATTTCTCTGCACTGCCGTTGGATGCCATTTTATGATCTATGCCTGTGCTTAGAAATTAACACAAATTGATAAAAGCAACAAGAGGGGCATCCATCCGTGTTTGGATCCATCGATCGTTGCCTTCGTTCGATGCATAAATTAAACTTGGGTGAGCCTGATCCCAGTCGCAGCCTCAGCTCGTTCAAATTCCAGGGAAAACGCTCCAGTTGGCGCATGTTTTGACACCAAACATCCGCCCTAAGCCGCCGCCAAGCATTAGTGGCCATGGATATGGATCCTCAGAGCAGGCTTCGCTGTAAAGGGTGTCGTTGACACTGATCTTGTTAGCCGTTGCCGCTCATGCGCATGACTGCCATTTAAGCGCCATAAATTCTCAAAGGCAAAGGCACAAACAACATTTTCAGACGTCGCGACTCGCAACGCTTCGTTGCACGCTGCACGTTGCACGCTGATTTGTTGCTGTTGTTATTGCAGCCTACAATTTCAGTAATAAGACGCAGCATTAGATGACTTAATACGATTTTCGTTGAGCATGGTCTGGCATTCGATTCTAAATATACTATATATGTGCTATAGGGGCAGACCAAATGCAAGAACTGCTCGTATTTATGACAACGCGTTGACATTTAATTGAGCCCTGAAAAGTGAGATTGAAGACAAAGACATTGAAGAGGAATGGGTGTCTAATATAGGATAGTAGGACACGCTTTTTTATAACTATTAGTGATGTGTTGGAATAAAAGAATTCCTTTTCTTTTTTATTGGATTAGAACAACTTGAAATAGTTGTTATTCAATTGGAAATAATCGCATAAGCCCTACATCGAATTTCTCCTGAACTTAGCCTGCCAACTAAAACAGTTCTCATTTAAAAACTCAAGAACTACCCTACTTAAATACCGTGTACCAAAAAAATCAACTCCACTGTTTACTAATAATTTTTGTAAATGGACCGAAGTTATATTAGAAGAAATGTAAAGGTAAGATACTTTAATCAAAGTGATTTACGATTTAATTTATCTCGAAGCAATGCACAGTATTAGATACGCAGTCGGTTTTCTTGCGCGCCTATAGATATTCAAAACCTAGCACATTTCAAAACGATTTTATTAGAATTGAAGTTTCGGGTCGCAAAAAAATGAAGAAGTGAGTGTAGTAACTATTGAAAAAATTGAATTTATTTAAAAGCTGAAACAAAATATATAAATAACTCATAAACGAGGAGCGGAAATGTTCTTAATCCAATGCAATGCAATACCTTGGGTGGCACCTTAAAGTGGCTCTAACCAGTTAGGAATTTAGAGATGTAGCTTATAAGAACATTGCAGAGAAGTATGTAAGGTTTTCTGCATCCTGCATTTCACATTCCGTTGGGTGCAACCATATAGTATTTTAATTAACACGCTCATCTTAAACGAAAATGTGAGCGATTATCGTGAAAAAGGGGTCAATCACAAAAAATCATAACATGAGGACATATATCAAACATATTGCCAAATTGAATATAAAATTTCAAGGCTTTCGAAAGGTCTGGGAAATAACTAAAATAAAGAAAGTATTAAAGAAATTAAATTTGTTATTCAGCGAAGCGAGATTCTTGTGGTGATTGCTTTTTTAAAGGTTTTTTTAACGCTGGATTCGCAATTATGTGTTAACGTATTTTCATATATATAAGTAATAGTCTAAGTTTTTCAATGTATTATTAAACAAAATTCCTCACTACGACTTCGAAAACACACAAAAAACAATCATCTATGCGCTTGGTAAGTTCCAAAAAGACCTGGGACTAAATAGACACCGGTTCTCAAAACTCAGCCGCCTTCGCTTTGGTCACACTAAGCTAACCTATATATAACCTATATATTACTAACCTATATATATATATAAGCACCTTTTTAATCCTGCCACAGACAAATCTAAGCCCAGCAACACCAATACTCCTACCTTAGTAGAGCTCATTACATCGAACTGCCAACAACTTTAACAGCCATAGCCATAATCCATAATCCAATTATTTCCTTATTTTATTTTTTTTTTCAAACTACTTGGTTTTCTGGACAAATAAAAAAGCACATACACACAAAAGCCTAAAAATAATCAGCAACCAAGCCGACAAAATTGTAAACTTCTGTTGTTTTGGATTATCTTATCTGAACGTTATTTGTTTTCGCAAATAATTATTATCTGGCCTATGCTTTGGCTGGAATATGCTTTGGCTTGTGAATGCAAATCGGAAAAATAAATGTTTTTAGTAATGCATATTTCTTCACATTCGATTAACAACGCCAATTGCTTACGACTCGTGATCGGCTGGCAGTCGGCAGCCCGTTGCCTTGTAACTGACAAACTGGTCGACAGTTGCTAATGAATTAATCAGCCAGAGATTGGCAATCATTTGTGCCCAACTCTTGGGCTAAACGCATAAATAGTGTGGGCATTTAATTATTATTATGTGCGGCGTTTCTGACAAATGATAATTGCTATTTGCATGACAATTAGAAATGCGGAGACTCGGCTCGGACTCAGACGCAGTCAGATCACAACTATTTAATTTATTTTGATTTGTTGCGTGCGCCACCCAAGCACAGTGGTTCGGAAACAGTATTTGCTGCCAAAAATATTGCAAAAATAGTTATAATTTTTTTTGGCAATATTAAAGCCTATTTCATAATATACATATATATTATATTATAATTTTTTTAAATCCTTTTGTGTGGCAAAAAACAAAAAATAAATTAATAAATAAACATATTTTTTAAACAATTTAATTTCAAAACCTTCTAAATTATTTTTTATTTATTGATTGGTATTGAATTGTTGTTAAAGGATCTTTAAAAATGTTTTAGAAACATTTTTTAGTTGCAAAAAAATCTATAAATATACTTGCTACTTATTTATAATTTTTAGATAATGCTCAAACCTATTTTATAATGTTTGAAAGCAACATAGAAAAAATTTGTAAATCCAAATAACTTTTAAATATTATTATAAAATTTGATTTTGTTTCGTAACATCTTATTTATTAATTTTTTTTTTATTTATTTATGACTGACATTGACAGTTGACATTGGAGGAAAAAATATAAAAGTTATTAAAAGCATCTTATAGGCTAGAAAAACCTAAGAAGGAGAAATCTTATCAAATTAAATTTATAATTATTGGAACTATAAACTATGTTTCTAACTTAAATCTATAAATGACTTGTTCTAAAATTTAATTTCTTTACATTTTGGCTAATTTTTTTAAGCCGTCCAATATTTTATATTAACTATTACTATTTCATATTTTAGAAAAATGATTGCTAGCATTTTTGATTGGAAAACAGCAACTTTTCGTAATAAGGAAATATTTTTTTTGTAAAATTTAAATAAGTGTTTTGTTTTTTTTCGAAAAATCTGTAATTACGCTCCACTGTGCTTGATCTCTTGCAACGAAAACAACAACGACACCAACACGTACTGTTCGTAGTAACAACATCTTTACAAGTTCTGTACAAGTTTAGAAACCTGCAAGATCTCGTTGATTGTCAGGCATGTCGACTCGCGAGCGCTGGAAGAGTTGAAGTCGCTGCGCAGGCGCCATGGAGCTTTGAAATGTTGTATGAATATGTCTAATTCGATTGGCTACGCCTAGCACTTCCTGCATATTTGAGACGCCTGAGCAGAGCTGAGCTGAGCTGAGCAGCAGAAAGAACAGCCGGCTGGTATGCATTTCATTTGATCAATAAAAACGGGAACCATATGCCGAAATCGCGCACATCCCCAATGAACTTGACATTGAAAACCACGTCAATCAATTTAAGCAGCCGGGAGCCGGGAAGATCTATATCAATGCGCGGCTTGCGAGAGATTTCTTTAAGTAGCTCTCAAACGATACAATGATACATTTTTATTTTTCGGGAGCGGGATCGTGACTCAGGCACAGTTGGAGGCCAACTGCCACTCAAAGTATCAAATTGCAATCCGGACAAGATCACGTACAGAGTGCAAATGCTTTTCAGCTGTCAATCAAATGGCTTGCCTCGGGCAAGGGGTAGGCTGTGCTGCCATTAAGAAAACTGTGGAATGCAGAGGCAACAGTTGCGTGTGGAGCTGATAAGCGCGATATATACTCGTATAATCGCCTCTTCATATATACCTATGTATACGTATATGTCAGCCGGTATTGTCAATGACAGATAAGCGCGCGATAAAACCAAATAATGGGCCAAGTGGGCTGCGTTTTGCCACCATACCTCTGGCTATCAATTCAATAACTTCAATAAAAACATACGACATGAAAGCACATAAGTCGGTTACATTGACAATATTATTTAAATTGATAGCCTACTGAGTCATATAAAGAATTTGTCTATGGTGTTCTTTTTTTTTTTACTAATTTAAATTAAACATATTGTACTCGTACTTTAAATCTTATCAATAAATGTGGTTTTTGATTCACTCAAAGGGAATGCCAGCTAAATTCACTTTCACTTGTAAATCATTTCAAATGATACATAAATAATAAGTAGGTTTGAAGTACTTTAAAAGAAATGGTTGCGGTTTTAGAAAAAGTCAGCATTTTGTGAGACACAAGAAGGGATTCACTAAATGTGAGGCGATTCCACTTTCTAGTAGCCATTACTATAATAATAAATTTTAAGTACTGTTAGAGAAAAGGTTCCGGTTTTAAAAAAAGTCAGCATTTTGTGGGACACAAGAAGGGATTCACTAAATGTGAGGCAATTCCACTTTCTAGTAGCCATTACTATTTCTACTCTTCTAAATTCACTTTCACTTGTAATTCATTTCAAATGATACATAAATAATAAATAGGTTTGAAGTACTTTAAGAGAAAAGGTTGCGGTTTTAGAAAAAGTCAGCATTTTGTGAGACACAAGAAGGGGTTCACTAAATGTGAGTCTATTCCACTTTCTAGTAGCCATTACTATTTCTACTCTCCGGCCACTTCTTGCCCAGTGCCTGATCGCGAGCCTGTTGTCTGAGCACCTTTCCGCTGCCAGTTTTTGGCAGTTCGGGTAGAAAGAAGACGCCACAGTGCAGCTGTTTGTGCTCGACAATCAAACGCTTGGCCACATACTCTACAATCTCCTGTTCGCTTAGCTTGCTGCCGGACACTTTGCAGACGGCTGCTGCGGCAGGATCCCCGTCCACCTCGTTCCAAAGTCCAAAGACGCAAGCCTCGATGACATCGGGCAGCTCGGCTATGACTTGTTCGATCTCGTAGGGACAGTATTGGGCGCCATGGAAGCGCAGCATATCGCGTTTGCGATCGATAATGTGCAGATAGTTCTCGTCATCGAAGTAGCCCATGTCGCCGGTGTGGAACCAGCCCTGGTAGTCCTGCAGGCGCTTCGATTCGTTCGGATTGCCATAGTAGCCGTTCCACACCTTGCCGTTGTGGACGAGTATTTCGCCGGTCTCGCCATGCCCCAGACTCCGACCAGCATCGTCCAGAATCTTGACCTTGACGCCGGGCACTACTCTGCCCACCGAAGCGGGCTTCGTCACGCCCATATTGGCGGCCACGCCCCCACACTCAGTCAACGCATAGCCATACGATATCTGACCATTCACCAGATACTCCTGCATCTTCAGCAGATTCGTCACATAACAGTTGCCGCCGCCGACGCTGATGAACCGCACTGTCTCCAGACGCTGCTTGGCCAGTGTGGGCGCCTTGACCAACGAGGCCACCTGCTGAGGCACCAGAGTTAGGAGCGTTATTTTGTACTTCTCCACCAGCTGGAGCAAATATTCGGGCGAGTAGGCGCGATCGGTGATGATGCGGGTGGAGCCGTGGCAGCAACTGTACAGCATATTGAACATCCCAACGGACCAGTCAATGGTGCTGAAGGACAGCATGACGTCCTGGCCGGTCACAAAGCTACAGAGCAGGGATTAGGGATTAAATACTAGAGAGTGTGAAATGTGCACAATACTTACCCGAAATCGAAGAGGCAGGCCGCGTTGGAAATGCAAACTGCCTTGGGCAGCCCAGTGGTTCCCGAGGTACAGAGTATAGCCACCGTTTGATCTCCACCCAGCTTAAGGGGCTCAGGTCTGCAAGCAAAGATTATATTACAGTCTAAATATGGCCCCATTTCGGTCTCAACCTACACATAGTAGAGCTCCATTTTGGTGGGTTCGAGCAGATCCTCGATGCGTGGCAGAAACGGACGATGCTCCTTCAACGTATAGATGTGTGCCTTCAAGATCCTGCTGATGACACTCAGGCGCTCATAGACATTGCCATCGCAGAACACGATCTTGGGCCGTGTTATGCAGAACAGATGCTTCATGGTGGCCTCGTCGTGCCAGGGACTGACCGCATGGAAGGGTGTGCCATTGAGCAGACAGCCGAGCACCACGGGCATGAGGTACGTGGTGTTTGTCCCCGCAATGCCCACCACATCGTCCTGCTTCAATCCCAAGGCCCGCAAATGCTGGGCAATGCGCACGGCAAAGGAAATGGCCTCGCCATTTGTGAGTGCCGTGCCCTCCGTATCGGAAATCTGTTGGAATAAATATCAACAGCTCAGTGCTAGAGCTTCAAGAAAGAGACTCAGAGACTCCTCCCCACCTGACACAACTTCTCTGGATGATTGCGCATGAAGGCGAACAGTATTTTACCAATCGAACAGTCCACATCAAAGAAGTTCACCGGCCTTGGTCCACTCCAAATTTTTGTGTACTTATCGTATTGCGTGTTGGTGCGTTCCATGTTGGCACTGATAAGTGGTCTTGGGTTTGGGTCGACGCGGACTCTCCTCTTCTTCTTGATTGCGTGCGCCCGAATGGTACGCAGGTTAAACGCCAACTGGCCATGTTCATGGATAGGCTTAAGTTCCAGCTGCTTATCAATGTACCGATTCCTCAAACGGTTAGCGACGTCACGGTCAGGCGGTCCAAGTCTTATCGCTCCACACAAAAGCTTTCCAAATGATAAGCCCAAAGCTAGAATAGCTACCTTGTTAGAGTTTACAGATATATCAGCTGATAGCAAGGTGGAAAGACGTAGGAACCGAGTTCTTCCGGACAAAAAATGACAAACGAACTGTATAGATAAAGAAAATACTTCAAGCCATATGGTCTGATCCATACCACATTTAAATTTAATTATTTAATTAAATTTTCAAGTGTTTGTATATTAATTTTTTTGTGGAATCATGCATTCCTTTCATAATTTGAAATAATTCTTAGCCGCTTATTTCATTATATTTTGACAAGCAAGAGATTGAATAATTCTACAATAACTATACCCAAGTCTTTTGATGCTTCAAAATGGTAACAAGCTCTACTATTTAGGGAATCATCATTTAGAGCCGGGACTTTACATTTATCTTGCATTAAAAATTTTAATCATGTCCCCTTCTCATTTGTATTTAATGATCTCAAACAAAAATTAGGTTTAACATTATTTTAACGAAATGTAGATTTAAATTAACAGCAGCTTAAACAATGAAATGGTTAAAAAATTAAACTTGGTTTTTATACAAGCCGTCGAAATGGAGATGATCAGTATTCGTTGCTGGAATTAAATATGGTTAAAATGGTTCAAACACAAAAATTCAAATGATTACAATAATAAGAAGAATTATGATGTGGGAGGAAATTTTTGCAACCAACATTTCATCAAATATTAAACTCAGAGTAAAGTTTATAAAATGAATGAGTTAATGAATGAATTAATAAAAATTAGAAAATAGAGCGATTGAAAAACAAAAATCCAAATGATTGACATAATAAGAAGAAGAACTATGATGTGGGAGGAAAGTTTTGCAACCAACATTTCAACAAATATTAAACTCAGCGTAAAGTTTATAAAATGAATGAGTTAATGAATAAATTAATTAAAGTTGGAAAGTAGAACGGTTGAAAAACAATAATCCAAATGATTTACATAATAAGAAGAAGAATTATGATGTGGGAGGAAAGTTTTGTAACCAAAATTTCATAAAATATTAAACTCAGAGTGAAGTTATTAAAAAAGAAACGATTGAACATTAATTCATATTATTGTTAGAAAATTAAGTAATGTTTGGTTACGTGTTTATTTAATTTTTTGATTTTCCCGACCCCGCTACAGAGTTCTTAAATACTGTCCACATTTCGAAAACTACCTTATCTTTTGTTCCAAATTTTATCCAAATCGGACAATTCTAAGAAAAGTTTTTAGCGAAAAAATTTCACTCCAGTACTCCACCAACAAACTGCAGCATCAAGTTCGCTCTTCTTCTTCCACCCAAAAGGTATTGTTTTACAGACTTTAACACGAAAATTAAAAATTGAAAATTAAATGGAAAATAAAAAGATTTGTTCCTATCGAAACGCCCAATCTCTTTTTTGTACACAGTTGGGGATGCCCCCTTTTAGCCCGCTCACGCAATTATCTTTACTTATAGATTAACATTAAAAAATATTGCCGAGTCTAGATCATGTCCAGTACAGGCCCTTTTTTATTTCAAAATTAAATTTAGTTTAAACTGTTTACATTTTCTGCTCAAATTGCGATGAAATCGCGTTGGCGGCTCAAGAAAGAAGAGAAAGCTGAAGCAACCAGCTTCAGTTTCCGATCACACACCAAAGGTGGCGCTGTATTCACCAATGCTTCTAAAACTGTTTCAGCAGTTTCGGGCACTCAAATATTGTTGTTGCTTTTCGCTCTCACAAATATTTCTTACAGCCGCTCTGGAAGATAAGGTGATTTTTCAGACATAATACACTCTTAAGGATGCTAGTTGCCGAGGCTAAAAGAAATAGTCGAAATAGTCATGTTTGTTATCCATTTAAACGCAATTTAGTAACGACGATTGGAGACTTTGTCGATGTTCCACCATCTCTCCGCACGGACCGAACAACTTTTCTCTTATTTGGCAACTCCTCCAAAGGAAACCGTGTCGCCGATGTTTTTTTCTCTCCTTCTCCATTTTGATTTGATTTGAAAAAGCAGCTCCAAACACTGCTTTCAAAAGATCTGAACACATATCTGTTGAGAAGTTTTTATGCCTGGGATAACCTCAGATACGATTTGGCAATCAATAGGAACGTAAAGTTCCTGTTTCTGTGCCTATTACCGCTTCTTGAAAACCATCCTTTTGCTTGCTTTACAATACCAATATGTTATAAGTCTTGTGTCTAAACTTAAGAGCAGCATATTACTTAAACAATATTTCATTTTTGAAGAATAATACGAAATCTGACAGCGAAATTCTCCTCAACATGATTGAGATTGATTGCAAATTAATACAGTAACTCTCCTTTAAATTTCATCTCTAAGTCTTTAATATTATCTATTCTCTAAGATTTTTTGTGTTTCTTTTCTTAATAATCAATAGCCAAATCGTACGTTCTTCTATTGAATTCTTTGTGTTCTCTAGGCAGTTTTACAATTTCTTTAACTACGAAAGTAAATGTTCATTCTTGCTTTCGTCTTTTGCTCTTGAGTTTGCAGTTTTTCCAACTTTTTGGAAGGATTCTTTAATAATTCAGCTTTTGTATATTCATTTGTTGGTTCTGGCTCGTTCTGCGATCTTCGACAGTAATCGGTCTCCATTCAAGCAATACTTTAGTCTCACAAAATGATCAAAAGAACTGAAATTGTATGAACTCTATTATCTATTTTATTTTACTCAATTAATTACATAACAACACTTAATCAGATTTATCTCTTTAACTCCTATCCTTGGCTTCCAAGAAGTAAGCCTTGGTGGCGTTCCGATTTGTTTTCCCATTGGCACTGCGGGCAAGATCATCCATGATGATAGCTCCGGCATTTAGTTGCTTATATTTGGCATCCACATGATCCGCGACATAGTCCACTACGTCCTGGGCATGGAAGTCGGCGCCGAACTTCTTTACGACGGCAGCGGCGGCTTCATCGCCATTGAATTGATTCCATACCCCAAAGACACAAACCTCGGAGACGCCCGGCATCTTGGCTATAACCTCCTCCACTTCGTTGGGATAGTACATGATATTCTGGTATTTCAACATTTCCTTCTTGCGCTCGACTATGAAGAGGAAGCCATCCTCATCCATATAGCCCAGGTCGCCGGTATGGAACCACAGATTGGCGTCGCGTATCTTGTGGGATTCCTCAGGGTTGCCATAATAGCCCGCCCAGTATTGGCCATTGGTAACGCATACTTCGCCCACCTCATCCGGTCCGAGTGCCTTGCCTTCATCGTTTAGTATTTTTATCTTGAATCCGGGCAGCAGACGACCCACGGAATTGGGTTTGGCATCGTAATTCCTATTCATAGTGGCCATGGTGCCCAGTTCTGTACAGCCGTAGCCGAAATGCAAACAATCGTGATCCAGTCGACTGCGGACAGTTTCTTGGACCTCTACTGAGCAACGCCCTCCGCCATATAGGTAGTATCGCAAGCTGCTCAGATCGGCCTCTTCGAATTCCGGGCAATTCACTAACATGGCCATATGTGAGGGCGGTTGTAGCAGCCAAGTGACTTTATATTCCTCGATGATGCGCAAAAGTATAGCCGGATCGAAGGTGTTGTCCGCTATAATGCGCTTCGTGCTGAAAACCCCAGATGTGACGAGAGCGACAAGTCCAGAAATCCAGTCCAACGTACTATGCGAGTACTGCACATCGGCGGTGGTTAAAAGGCTGTAAGGATAGTGCAGGATATTAGAGAGGTTTATAAAGACACCCACAAAAGAGTGATTATTAACTTGAACTTTAAAGCAAAAATGACGGACAAAAAAACTTGGCTATATCGATTTTCCATTTCGCTTTCTTCGATCTCTTACAGACAAAATTCATTTCTTGCTAAGTTCGGTTAAGTTTTCGGTTAATTTTTGTAAATAACCAGCAAGTGTTGATATTTTGTCAGAGCTTTTGATCGACTTACGTGCTGGAATTGAAGATCTTTTGGCTGTTGGTTATGGTTACGGCCTTGGGCGTTCCTGTGGTGCCTGAGGAGCACAAAATGGCAAGCGTTTGCTGAACCCCCTGCTCCAAGCGGGCGGGTTCGAAGTTCGGCTCAATGGGCGTGTTCAGCAGATCTTCGATTTTCGTAACTCCAGGCGGGTGGTTCCGCATCGTAACTATTTGGGTATTAAGCGAAGCGGTTGCCTCCTTCAACTTCTCGTATTCGTCGCCATCGCAGAAGATGATCTTCGGGGCTGTGATGCTGAACAATTTCCTGATGGTGTCCTTCTCGTAGACCACATTGAGCGAGTGGAATGCAATGCCATTGAAGAAACAGGCGTAGGCCACGGCAGAGATATGCGTCGAGTTTCTAGCCATTATGCCGACTATATCCGATTGTCTCAGTCCGATCTGGCGCATATAGCTGGCCACCCGCATAGAGTTCTGATGCAATTCCGAGCGTGCGAGCAACGTGTGCTCCGTAGCCGAAACCTGCATTATAAACCCGATTTAGAGTGGTTCCATTTGTCAGTCTTGGGCTTCTCTCTGCTTAGCTCACCTGGGCGACCTGCTTGGGATGGCGTCGCATCTCATGGAATATGATCTCGCCTATGGATAGGTCGGGCGCGAAATGGAAGCGCTCCACCGGACCGCTCCAGATCTTATGCTCAGCATCGTAGCTCGTCTCTGGCTGGTAACTCATTCTGATCGCTGGCTCTAGTCTTTGCTGAATGATGGCGTTTCGTTCAACCGTTCGCTATTTATTCGTCGCGTGAGGGCCGAGACTTCCATTAGATAACGCTACCCACTACAGATTTACATCGTTTTTGCATCTGTGCTGTGATGTTTGCATGAGAAAGCGCTTTAATAGTCTGTAATCAAAACAAATACAGCTACTGGGCTGGGCCGGGCCGGGTCGGGCGCACGTTCAGCATTCGTGAGCGCAGCATTGAGAACTTTCATTTAACGCTGACGCATCAGTTTTTTGTAGAGGCGCCCGCCGTCGTCGTGTATTGCTGTGATCCTATTACAGAAATGGAAAACGCACACTTTTCCAGCCTTCAAGTGATTGGCCTCAAAGGTCATCTCCGGCATTGCTGATTTATTAATTGGTCAGTTCCAGTTTTCCGGTGCGAGTGAATGTCTCAGAACACTGTTCCGGTTTTGCAGAACCGAGTATATTTATTTGTGGAAATGATTTGAAATTCGGTTTCCAAATGGTTCTTTGGGAAAATAAAAACTTGAAGGAAAGGCCCCTAAAAATAGGGGATTGGTTCCTTATCTGTAAAGAAATATATATACAATATTTGATTTTCAAATCGTGTTGTATCAAAATCGTGTAAAAAAAGACCGTGTAAAAACAGAATTGGGTGTATTACTCCCATAGGAATATTGGAATAATTAGAATAATAATATTTCAATGGACAAAAAAGGAAATAGATTATTAATTCAGAAATATTGGAACTTCCCAAAATACACAATTTTATTTTTGTAATAGATGGATTATATTTGCAATCTGTCGGATTGGGTTATTTACAATATGTGCTAAATTTTTGTGATTATACTCCATTCCACATTTCAAACTTCAAGTCTTAATTCGTTTTGTAATAATTGCATTATTAAAGCATAAAAAATAATCCATCCACTGTAAATTTGTAAAACGATAAGCTCTACTGAAACTGTTAAAGGTTATACCAAATATAATAGAGAATAGGGGGCGTGGCGGGTCGCTTAATCTTGCTATGTTTGTCTGTCTATTCGCCTATCTGTACTCTCGTAAGATGATCTTATCTGTGTGCAAACAGAGTGTGTTAAAAATTATCATTACATTTTGTAAATAATAGTCTTACCTCTAAGAAGGTATAATACTTACATAATTAATGACAGGAACGATATGAACAATAATAATGTTCCCTTTCGTTAGTTATTATTGTTATTTTGATTGCTTCTAGTCCCGCAATGCAGGGCATCCCCTAATTCGATGTGACCGACCCGCGCAATTCTGTTTACTATTTTTTACTATTTTCTGGAGGGGCTTGTGAGTGCATTGACAGATTATACGAGTATATATGCATCGGAACTACTTGTATGTATATCTGTATATGCCATTTATGTAACTGAGAATCTACAAATTGGCGTGAAAGTCACGAATAGAATTGCACTTATTAGTGCATCTATAATATAGTCTAGTCTAGAATATATTCGCAGTTGATGTTGAGGCAAACTTGTGATGAAATTCATTAATTCCTATCGTGGATTGTAATAACCTAGTTGGTCGTAACAGAGTACAATGGAAATGTGCAGGGTTGTTAAAGTAATTTATCTTAATCTGACTGCCATATAAAGTGGAATACAATATCATGTTTAGAAGTAAACTGTAAACACCCTGAAGACTGTCTGCACTGCTGATATGTCTATTTGGCAAAGCGTCGTAATTATTAGTATTATTATTTTTTTTTTTGCAAGAACACATGTCTTATCAGTATTATATTCGGTCCAAGTACCACTAATATGGCACTTTTTGGCTGAATCATTGTGTTTTTGGGCAGCGTTTGTCGTCAACATGTAAGTGGATAGTAAAGTTTTGATAAAAGATTATAATCTGAGATTTTTTTTAACCATGACAACCGACAACCATGACTATTTGTAAATGAACTAAAACAAGATGTGTTTTCGAATATTGACGGTCTTTTGAACCAGTTTCAATGAGCTCTGAGTCTAATTTCAACCCTTCGTTTGGCACAATCTCCAATTTGAATGATTTTTTAATAGAAAAGTGAAAATAAAAAATACACTTTCTTTTATTTTTTTGATTAACTGGGTTTTAGAATACTTGTATATATTAAATATTTAGTGTATGTTGCATTTCTGCAACTGCAAAAACGCTTGGGGCGATAATTTTATTGTAGTCTTAGCAAAGGTCTTAACAAAATATACTAAAGGTACTTCAAATCCTTTGAAAACATTTATAAACCTATTTAATTTAAGTAAAAATTCGCGGAATTCGTGTTAAAAGACAGTGAAACTCCAATATCGACCCAGCTGTAATGCACCAAATATTATAGTCAAGGATCGTCAAGTTTATTTAACAAATTTGATGATTGTCCACGATGGACAGTTTTCAATAAAAATACTCTGCTAATAATAATAAAAAAATGGATTAATATATTAATAAATATTTTTGAACCAGTTCCAGTTCTGTACTTCTTTTGAATATGAATTTAAGCAGTTATGGATTTTTAAATGATCCGTTTCGTAACTGGATTTGGTATTGGACTGATTCTAAGCCCGTTATGAACAAATATTGATTCAATTTTTAATCGTAGGTGTAAAGGCATATTTTCTATCTGTATGAACGCTAGTTCTTAAAAGTTTTCTAGGTTTTTGAAGCGGACTTAAATCGTTTTCGAACGTATTTTTTGGTTCACACTCGCTTTCTAGCCAATTCTCGAAGGATTATAATTTGAAAATATAGATAGAGATCTTATGCTTTTTAAAGTCTGTAACTGAATCGATATATTATTTCCAAACAAGCGTATTAGATCTCATTACTGTATACTTAAATGACATTACTATAAAAGTTTTTAAAAATAAAAGACTAGAGCAGATCGCTTTTCAACTATTTATTGCTCTTGTGCGACTGAATTTAGCAAGAAAGCGTATTATTTCTTTAATCGAAACACCATTAGCTACAATTCTGAACTTGTAAATTATATCTTTTGAATTCGCTATTTATTCTAACCTATAAATTTTATATTTATTATTATTATTATTTATTATTATTTCTTTCATCCAAACTCCATACTTTACTCGATTATGTTACAATACTGAACTTGTAAATTATATCTTTTCAATTCACTATTTATTCTAAGCTATACATTTTCTTTTTCGAACTAGGTTTCAGGTCATTAGATATTTGGGAACACTCTAATTTTTGCTAGACTACTTTGTTTTTGTGGCTTCAAGGTAATGCTTCTTAACCGCTTGACGATTTACCTTGCCATTGGCACTCTTGGCTAGCTGATCGACCATCAGTGTTCCACCATTTAGCTGTTTGTACTTGACAGTCACGTGTTGGCGCACAAACTGCTCCACGTCTGAGGATCGCAGGGAACTGCCCTTCTTGCGAACCACCGATGCGGCCGCCGCATCTCCTTCGATCTCATTCCACAAACCGAAGACGCACACCTCACTGACGTCGGGCATCTGAGCGATCACCTCTTCGATTTCGTGTGGATAGTACATCATGTTCATATACTTCAGCATATCCTTCTTGCGCTCCACAATATACAAATAGTTGTCCTCATCGAAGTAGCCCACATCGCCAGTGTGGAACCAGCCCTGCTTGTCCTGCATCTCGGCTGTGGCCTTCTCGTTCCCATAATATCCAGCCCAGAGCTGACCATTGCGGCAGTAGAGTTCGCCCACTTCCTTAGGTCCCAGGAATTTTCCCGCATCGCTAACGATGCGCATACAAATGCCGCCACACAGGCGACCAACTGAGTTGGGCTTCGAATGGGTGGTGTAGTTGCAGGAGGCAATGGAGCCCAGTTCCGTGAGACCGTACGCATTGCGCAGAACGCCCTGACCCTGAAGATGGGTCTGCATTTTCTGCAGGGTGGTCACCAGGGTATGTCCGCCAGCGAAGAGAAGGTGGCGAAGGCTGCGCAGTGGTCGCCCATTAGTGCCACCATAATTGGCCAACATGGCGATATACGAGGCGGCGACGATGGCCCAACTGATGCTATACTGCTCGCAAAGCTCCAAAAAGTGAGCGCAACTAAAGGGTTCCGTGGAGATCACACGCTGCGTTCCATAAACCCCGGCAGTAATCAAAGTGATGAGGCCGGTGAGCCAGTCCAGAGTGCTGGGAGCATATTGTACGTCATTCGCAGTTAGATAGCTAAAGAAAAAATTGAAAGAAAAAAAATGTCCCATTAACAACGTAGAAAGGAGAAAGCCTCAATCGATAATGTCTTCTGCAACTCATAGCCCCGTCAGTTTCTTGAGCAGAAGATAGATATTTATTTTGATAGCGAGGCACCCCTGCTTCGTGGACCTAGCCCCGAGTTTCTCGCTCGCATTGTGATCTCTTTCTTTAATTCTGTTAACAACAGACTTTAAATCTCTGTGTTAGCCACAAAACAGTTTCATTTTACGATTAAAGATTCTATTTAATTGTTCCTATCACTCATAATAGGAATAAATATTGGAAAGTTATCTTAACAGGTTTCTTTTTAATGTTTAAAACATGATTTTAACCCAATTGTGAGTCGAATTTTTCTATGTGAAGACTAATTATATTGAATTGTTCCTGTAACTCTTAATAGGAAAAATAATTGAAAGTTATTTCAACATGAATAAAATGTTTTTTTAAATGTTTAAAACACGATTTTAACCCACTTGTGAGTCGAATTTTCCTATGTGAAGACTATAGCGATTGATTTAAAAGTCTATAAAGAACAAAAATACACATTAAGTCGCGTTTAGACTAGCAAATAATTTGCGCAAAAACTCGCCAAATTTCACAGGCAAGAAATGAAAATTTAATTTTTAAATAATTCCTAAAACCTAACGTTTTGTGTGTGTTCTCTTTTCTGATTGAAGTAATACAGCAATTGACTAAATTTGTGCAAACATTATTTGCCTGTCTGACCACCTACCTGTGCTGCTCGAAGATGAGGCGACTGTTTGAGAGAGTCACGGCTTTCGGAGTGCCCGTTGTGCCGGAAGAGCACAAAATAGCCATAATGCTCTCGCTGCCCCGTTCTAGTCGCGTCGGCTCGAAATTCTCGCTCAGTGGTGTTTGCAGCAACTGCTCAACGCTGGTCACACCGGCAATGTGACCACTCAGGGTCACAATTTGCGCCTTTAATGCCACCGCTATGTCCTTTAAACGCACATAGTCCTGACCATCACAGCAAATGATGCGCGGCTTGGTGATGCTGTAGAGGCTCTGTATGGTATGTGCCTCCGTGTTGGGATTGACGGCGTGGAAGGGCGTGCCATTGAACATGCAGCCGTAGGCGACAGCAGCCAGATGCGTTGTATTTCGACCTATCAGGCCAACAATGCTGGACGCATTCAAACCCTGAAGCCTCAAATAGCTGCATACCTTCGCCGCATCGTGCAACATTTGGGTTCTGGAGAGTCGCGTCTTCTCCGTGTGGGAAATCTGAAAGAGCCGCTGCGGCTCGCGTTGCAGTTGCTTGAATATGATTTGTCCGATGGTGAGCTCGTTGTTGTACAGACTCTGCTCGTCGGAGCCACTCCACATCTGCTGGACTGCATCATAGCTGGTTGTGGGATTGCCGTTGAGGTCCAACATAGTGCTGTTTTGCAATTGCAACTGGCACGGGCAACGAAACGGCTCGACTATTTAAAGATCACGCCACTCTCTGCTGTTAGCTGTAAAAGTGTCAAGACAATGGACACGCCATGATTGGCAAGTGCGTCGGGGGGATTGCAACAAATTAGCCGCCAATTTAGCAGTCTAAAGACTCGAGCTACTGTTCAGAATTGCGATTCCACCACGCAAGCTTTGCATTTGACACGAATCTGCGTTTATTCCAGAGGTGGGTTAGAGGTTAGCTTTTATTGAATAAGGCTGAATTGGGCTCTATTGATTAGATTAATAGTTTGTTGGTAAATGCCTAGCTCAATATCTTAATGTATCTGCCCTTCCAATCGGACACAGCGCTGAGGAACCCAGGGTTCTTTTTAAAGGTATGGGACTATTAATTCAATTGAGGTTTATTTATCGGAATATCATATATGAAGTACAGTATCGCAAGAGCTATAGAGTGCAGCCTTAAATGGTCTATAAAATAGGGTTTAAGGCAAACTTTTCATAGCTATTGAAATTCCGAGATAGTTCGAAATATAAAGAGATTTTGTAGGGAACTCGTGATAGCTTTGAATTATATAGAGTTTCGAATTATCGCAGGTTTGAATTAACCAGAGTCGACTGTAAGCCATCTTGCTGTTGTAGTTTCTGAGATACAGGTGATTATACGAACAGCGTTTCCGAAAATTCCACATAGGGGCAGCGGAAGGTAAAATCCAAAAAATAAAATAAGCACATAGGACATATTCGAGCAAAATTTCGTCGCTAGCTCTTTTAGTCTCTGAGATCCAGGTGTTCATACGGACGGACACAGAGTGTTGCACTGAGAATTCCCAAGAAGGAAGTATTATATGACTATAGAGTATTAAGAAGAGAAAAAGAGACCAAAATTAAAGCGAGCGACCACAACCGTAAAGACCTCCACGAGAAGGGATTATTAACTATTTTATCTATTTTATTTTATTCAATTAATTACATAACAACAGTTAATCAGATTTATCTCTTTAACTCCTATCCTTGGCTTCCAAGAAGTAAGCCTTGGTGGCGTTCCGATTTGTTTTCCCATTGGCACTGCGGGCAAGATCATCCATGATGATAGCTCCGGCATTTAGTTGCTTATATTTGGCATCCACATGATCCGCGACATAGTCCACTACGTCCTGGGCATGGAAGTCGGCGCCGAACTTCTTTACGACGGCTGCGGCGGCTTCATCGCCATTGAATTGGTTCCATACCCCAAAGACACAAACTTCGGAGACGCCCGGCATCTTGGCTATAACCTCCTCCACTTCGTTGGGATAGTATATGATATTCTGATATTTCAACATTTCCTTCTTGCGCTCGACTATGAAGAGGAAGCCATCCTCATCCATATAGCCCAGGTCGCCGGTATGGAACCACAGATTGGCGTCGCGTATCTTGTGAGATTCCTCAGGGTTGCCATAATAGCCCGCCCAGTATTGGCCATTGGTTACGCATACTTCGCCCACCTCATCCGGTCCGAGTGCCTTGCCTTCATCGTTTAGTATTTTTATCTTGAATCCGGGCAGCAGACGACCCACGGAATTGGGTTTGGCATCGTAATTCCTATTCATAGTCGCGATGGTGCCCAGTTCTGTACAGCCGTAGCTGAAATGCAAACAATCGTGATCCAGTCGACTGCGGACAGTTTCTTGGACCTCTACTGAGCAACGCCCTCCGCCATATAGATAGTATCGCAAGCTGCTCAGATCGGCCTCTTCGAATTCCGGGCAATTCACTAACATGGCCATATGTGAGGGCGGTTGTAGCAGCCAAGTGACTTTATATTCCTCGATGATGCGAAGCAGTATAGCCGGATCGAAGGTGTTGTCCGCTATAATGCGCTTCGTGCTGAAAACCCCAGATGTAACGAGTGCGCCAAGTCCAGATAACCAGTCGAATGTACTATGCGAGTACTGCACATCGGCGGTGGTTAAAAGGCTGTAAGGATAGTGTGGGATATTAGAGAGGCTTATAAAGACACCCACAAAAGAGTGATTATTAACTTGAACCTTAAAGCAGTAGCTAATTATTCATAGAGGGGATATATTTTAAAAAAAATTATAGGGCTTTGATGTTATAGTTCATACAGACAGAAGTACGGACAGACGGACAAAAAAACTTGGCTATATCGATTTTCCATTTCGCTTTCTTCGATCTCTCAAAGACAAAATTAATTTCTTGCTATGTCCGGTTAAGTTTTCGGTTAATTTTTGTAAAGAACCAGCAAGTTTTGATATTTTTTTCACAATTTTTATTCAACTTACTTGCTGGAGTTGATCATCTTTTGGCTGTTGGTTATGGTTACGGCCTTGGGCGTTCCTGTGGTGCCTGAGGAGCACAAAATGGCAAGCGTTTGCTGAACCCCCTGCTCCAAGCGGGCGGGTTCGAAGTTCGGCTCAATGGGCGTGTTCAGCAGATCTTCGATTTTCGTAACTCCAGGCGGGTGGTTCCGCATCGTAACTATTTGGGTATTAAGCGAAGCGGTTGCCTCCTTCAACTTCTCGTATTCATCGCCATCGCAGAAGATGATCTTCGGGGCTGTGATGCTGAACAGTTTCCTGATGGTGTCCTTCTCGTAGACCACATGGAGCGCGTGGAATGCAATGCCATTGAAGAAACAGGCGTAGGCCACGGCAGCGATATGCGTCGAGTTTCTAGCCATTATGCCGACTATATCCGATTGTCTCAGTCCGATCTGGCGCATATAGCTGGCCACCCGCATAGAGTTCTGATGCAATTCCGAGCGTGTGAGCAACGTGTGCTCCGTAGCCGAAACCTGCATTATAAACCCGATTTAGAGTGGTTCCATTTGTCAGTCTTGGGATTCTCTCTGCTTAGCTCACCTGGGCGACCTGCTTGGGATGGCGTCGCATCTCATGGAATATGATCTCGCCTATGGATAGGTCGGGCGCGAAATGGAAGCGCTCCACCGGACCGCTCCAGATCTTATGCTCAGCATCGTAGCTCGTCTCTGGCTGGTAACTCATTCCGATCGCTGGCTCTAGTCTTTGCTGAATGATGGCGTTTCTTTCAACTGTTCGCTATTTATACGTCGCCTGAGCGCCAAGACTTCCATTAGATAACGTTACCCACTACAGTGTTGAGAACTTTTAGATATAAATATAGCTTAGTAACCAAAACTTGATCGTTTATATCGATATATGTTGTAATAAAACAACAATCAGTCTCATTTATTACGGTATTGTAGTGTAGCTCTCATAAAAAGGGACATTAAAATTCTTGAACATATTCTAAAATGTATATAGCTGTCATAAAGAGATAAAACATTTCTTTAAGTAGACAATGCTGTTTTTTTTTGCATTTAATTGTTTACACAAAAGTATTCGAATTAATTTAAAAGTTGGGAACATATTGCTGGCGTAAAGCAGTCCATTAATTCCAATAATTCCGGTACCATCCAATACCAGCGGCTTATGTCTGGCAGAGATATCTCTTCCAAAGAGACATTGTGGCGTTATTTCAATGCCAAAGCATACAAAAATAAATGCATAATCAACTAACACTTGATAATAAAACATCTAATGTGTAAATTCAGCTGCATAATCGTCTGGCTTTTATGAAGTCGGAACCGCTTATGACTAAGTAATCCATTACTGTTTGAAGTTCAAGCGACTTCTCAGCTTCTTATGGTTTTTCCATTCCGTTTCATGTTTTATCGCCCGTTTCAGTTTATATATTCGTTGCGAAGCATTAACATTATCTTGATATATTAAGACCTCGCTAGAATAGAAATAATATTTGTGTCTGGCTTGAATGTGTTATCATTATATTGATGTAGTTGCATGCGATGTTGGTGTTATTTTTTCTGGAATATTTTTAAATTTTCATGCTTCACTGGAAACTATAAAAGAACGAGTTGAAGTCTTTCTATAACCTGTACCCAGAGGGTAAAAGGCTCATAAATGTTTGATATGTAAATGGTGTGTTAAAGCTACAGACCTTAATAAATGTTAAGTAGATGAGGCCCTGTATCGATGTTTCGATATTCTTTCGTTTTACAATTTAGCAGGCTCTCAAATATGTAGATTATTTTTCTGGGAAATTAATATTTGATGTATCAGAATCTTTCGATGTTTCGAATACGAATTCAAACAAATACCATTGAGGATGATGTCTATTGTTGTTAACATATTTGATTATTCTTTGGAATCTTAGATTATCTATTTAATGTGATATTGCAAGTCTTTCGGTCTTTTGAAACTCTATATATGTGCCTTTAAATGTTTTTAATACTAAATTCAAATTGATTAAATATTATTATTAATTAGGGATCAGGGTTCTGTTCTTTTTTGATCTCAACTTTTTAAATGTATAAAGTAAATTTGTAAAATCGTTTCTTTCATCATATTTTATATTTTATTTTATTTTTAAATTCTTTATAGAAATTCCTGGATACATCATTTTTCTGAATTTCTTAAGAGTGTAAGATTTCAATGCTATCACGACATACTTACAAACATATGAAGAGCGAAATAACGAATCTTACGCTACTTTATGTAAATCCATGTAGTTGTTGAGAAAATTGTAGGAACTTTTATTTTAGCTTTAATCAAACGTTATGTATTTGAAATTATTGGTAATTGGCAACGCTCATTAGTATACACCATATTAATACCGATCTGGTAACTCACAGTTCCCAATAAAGTAGTCCCTCATATACCTTCAACAGAAGCAGATAACTCTTCCTTATTCCCCCCTCTAAGCAACTTGAATATACCAATATAAATTTACTTACCATTTTGTTTTGTTTGATATTTTTATTGGAGACAAGTCTGCAAATAAAAAACCGGGAACTCTTTGAAGGTTAAGGGGGCAAAACAAAATACTTCTAGTTCAATTGCTTTAAAAAAGCATATTCCGTTCGCCACAAAGTAAAGAAATATTTCTGTTGATGTTTCACTTTGACGATAATTCGATAGCTTTTCTAAAATTATGGG